AGCTCTCCTGATTCTCTGCTTCATTATTTGACTGGTGTGCCTTCGGATTCTGTAGAAGAAGATCGTTGGTGTCCTCGTAGATTGCCTCCGCACCCTTGTGAAAGTCACTGGTGTCCTGAAGGTTCCAAGCTCTGTCTTCATTCATCAACTGCACCATCTTGTTCGCGAGAGCCTTGTCATTGGTCACCAAGACTTCTTGTGACGGAAGTACACCTCGAACGACTTCTACTTCCTCGAGCTGACCCTGAACTTGATCTGCTTCCCTTGCACCTTGACACACCACTGCAAACGAAGCACCACGAACATGCTGCCATTCTGCAGCTTGTGCTCCCACTTCAACTGATCCATCATCAGAAAGAGGCCGTAGAATCAGCGCCTCAGGATTCATCTCCCTCAAGTCGCACCAAAATTGTTCTGAGCAACCCGGATCCAAAGTGGCCATCAGGTCGCTGGACTCAACAAAACATTGAATTCCTGCAGGTGACACAGCCTCGAGCACAGGCGAACGCTTCGGTGGCGCTGACTTCAGAGCATCGTCCAATGCCCTCAGTGTCTTCTTTCTTTGACCGGTAGTGAGCGCCTTAGCTTTGCCCGTATCCTCGCTCCACAAAGCCATGTTCATCTCATCGTCGAACACAACCAAAAACACTTGTCCTTGACATTCACGTGGTAACCAACCAACACACTCGCGCCAACAACTCTTATCTGAATCCCAAACATAGAACACTCTTTGCAGTGACATACTCCATGGTGTCGAGGCCTGCAGACAAAATGTCTGCATTTGCTTCCTGCGCGCGCTGCGCAGCTGGGGTCCCGTGCTGATCAAGCAACTGTTCTCAGGACCGATTTCCTCTGGTAGTCCTGCCCTCGTCATTGAGGATCCTGGACCATCTGAAAGCCATCCATCGATCCCATCTCGGGGTTCTGGGCCATCTGCCATTGCTGAGCAAACCCTTGCATCCAAGCCAGCTGGGTCCTCAGCTCCTCCACCTCTCTCTGGTGGGCGATCGCCTGGGCATTCATCTGCATCTCCATTTGGTCTTTCATCTGCATGATCTCCGGGTCCACATCCATCTTGGCATCCTCGGTTCGGCGGATCGCCTCCTGCTCCTTGACGTCCCACTGAAAGAACTCGCATACTCTCTGGCGACACTTGTAAAAGTGCCTCCCTTGTGTGGGTCCCGCCTTCTTGACCATCAGCTTGGTGGCTTCCTTGTTGCATTTGCATTTCACAACTGTGTCCTCCGAGGCCATCGCTCCAGCGGACATGTACTCTTCGGCCTTGGCTTTCTCCATCTCGGCTTGTGCCAGCTTTTCCGGAGTGAGGTACTCCCATCGGGCCTTGCACAGGTTGCACCAAATCTCCTTCGAGTACTGGTTGCCCGATCCCTTCAGCTCGGTCGCTGGGTGTTGACACCACGTCATACTGGAAGTCGGTGGCTCCTTGGTCTTGCGCAGGCCGAGGTAGGGTGCCACCTTGATCACCCGCGCATACTCCAGCTGCTTGACACTCGCCGCCACGGAAGACGACGGGGGAGTAGTAGCTGAAGGGCTCCCCGGAGTGGAGGAAGCTGCTAGCCCCAACAGCCGCAACGAGCCATCGGGTAGCCATTCGGAGACTCTTCCTTTGAGGTTCACGAGGAGCGTGAGGTCGAGTAGCTTCTCGAGCACCACCCGCCATCTCTTCACTGCACGGCGGCTTCGGAGAACTGACGGAGCCAGTCTCCCTGGACGCATCGGCGCGTCCATCTCCCTTTGATCCATCATCCTGTGCAGTAAGAGGCTCGCCATTGTAGTCGCCGATGTCGAATTTGGAAAATTTTTCACTTCTACCCTCGAGAGGAAACATGCTCTGGTTGAGGAAACCGCTGGTCACGAGAGCATACTGATCAGGCTTCAGGAACTGAGTCTCAGCAGCATGGGGAAGACTCCAACCCTCTGGTGCAAAGGAAGTCACCGACACAGACATGTGACCGGACGGCATGCTGTGCATCTTGGTTTCAACCCCATAGGCCTTGAGCTGTAGGATGTCCCGGTCCAGGTCCACAACTGACCTGAGCTGGCGTAGCAACTTGATGGGAAGAAGAAGTGGCACGTCTTCTTGTACCACTGTCACTTCAAGTAGCCCGTTGATTCCAGCTATTCCAACTGGTAGTTCAGCAATGCCCAAAACCTTAGCCTTTCCTCCCACACCAGAGGCCTATGCTCTTTTCTGGTAGTTCCACCGAATTTGAAGCCCATATCCCCGTAAGGCATCTGTCAACTGTAACAACGCAGCCTTGCCGATGAGACCGTCCTGGGCCGCTGTATCGACGATGCCTTCGCCGGCAGTCGTTGTAACCCCGACAAAGGATTCGCAAGCATCGCTGGTACTCTCTTTGACATGTCCACTCTTTCCAAGCACAGAACACATGAGGCTGCCGAAGGTAGGCACGTAGGACATGTAGCACCGCCCATTGTTTTCCTGAAAGTAGCTCGGCGCTCCCGCTTTGTCAGCGGGGGTAGTCTCAACATAGAAACCCGATCTGGTGGAGGGCGAAGAGGGAGAAGACATAGTCGTCGAAGCCGATCTGGCCTGGGATGCGCGACCTCGTTCATCCGGAGGATTTCGACACTCTCGGGCCCAATGCCCAACTGTGCCACAGCGGGCACACTTTGTCCTCAACTTAAGAAGGTCCACATGAACTCGCGTCCCCTTTCCCCCAAACTTCATCGGCGCTCTGTTGGAAGTCTTCATGTCCAACATCGGCCTTGGTCTGTCTCCTCCTTTGCCCTTTCCTTTGTGGGCTCCTGGCTTTCCTCCCTTGCCCGTCGGGTAGTAGCCGCGATTGTTCTTTTGATCTCTGAGTGACCGTCGTATGTCTTGATACGTAGCCAGGGCCTCCATGACATGCTCCTCCTCGTAGATCTCCTTTAGATCATCTTCTCCTATGTAGATGTAATCCTCGTCGAGGTCGGAGTCGCCGGCCTCGTTGTCATCCTGAATGAACACTTCAGCCTGGCCACCTTCGTCATCCTCTGGCGCACCGTCCTCCTCAGTCAAGTAGTGCGCAGTACGACGTTTCACATCAAACACACCTTTGTCCAGCCTGCGAAGATTGGTAATCACCGTCTTCCGATCATACTTCCCTGCTCCCCAAGTAAGCATCTGACTCTCTTGCACATCAGAGAGGTTCGCATGCCGAAAAAGAACGTACCCAACCACCAAGTCATGTAGCGTAACACCCTGCCTCTCAAGGTCCTTGACAGATTTCTCCATCCTGATAACGTAGTCACTGAAAGACGCTCGTGACGAACGAATCTCACCGTAGATGGCATCCTCGAAGGCCTTGGGAAGCGAGACCTCAAGGTGGGGCTCGTAGTGCTCCTTCAGCGTCTTGAGCAGGTTATCCAATCCTTTCTCGCAAGCTAGCTCTTCAAAGGTCAGAGAATCGGCCACGGCCCGCGCAGAGCCTTCCAATTGCCTCCAAACCTTTACTCCCCACTTCTCCTTGGGGATCTCCGTCTCATACTTCCAAAGTTCAAGCTCTTTCACCCATTTGGGAAAACTCCTATCCGGATTCCGACCGTCGTATGACGGAGGCGGATCCCGGTCTCTCCACACATTGCCCTGTCCGGACTGGCTCCCCTGGATCGCACTGCCACCAGGAGTCGAAGAGCTCGGTGGCATTCGCCGTGAGCTCCGCTACCACCTGTGATTACAGGTGGAGTCTCTTGCCCTGCCAACGTCTATCGACTGCAAAGCACTGCGCTTTTCCACGCCATAATCAGCTGCGTAACTAGTAGGACTCAAGGGGCCCCTGTTTGGGCCAGAAAGCCAGCAAGCGCTGCACGGCTTCACAAGACACAACTGAGAAGAGCATAAGTCACATGAGTTCACAATGGTGCTAGGCAGAGGACGGTGGAGGGTAGGATAGATAGTATCAGACACTTGGAGCGCGGTATCAGACGCGCGGAACATCTCAGATGCTCAGACCACATGTGGGTCGGAAACTATAGTTTTTTTATGCTTTTCCGGAAGGGGGGTATCAGAATGTGGAGTAGGGGCTATCAGACACGAGGAGGTATCAGATACACGGAGTATGCGCAGGACGGAGGCACCAGATGTGCGGAGTCGCGGAACGGGATGTCCTGACACGTGGAAACTAAGCATCCCGACGTGCCCGGTATTCTAAGGGAGGGTAAGCGGAGGCATCAGACGTACGGGGACATCAGACGCGTGGAGTAGCTTGAGACAAGATGTATCAGACGCACGGAGGTGTTGGACGCACAGACTACATGCTAGGCGGAAACTATCTCCGGAGGGGCAGGGTGTTATCAGACGCGCGGGGCTAGGAGATTGCTTGGGGTACGCAATGAAAGCAGGATACCTGATAAGCCGCAGGAGGGCTCGCAGTTCGTGACACGTTGGAGTGAGCTGAGGTCCAGGCAGTCCTCCCAGCACGCCGCTTCAGCTCAATAAGCTCCTTCAATAAGACGGGCACAGACTGCCATTCACCGTGAACGAAGGTGGCATTGGTAGATCATGCTAGAACAACAGAAGGTGCACACGGTTCTACTCCATGTGTGCAGCATAACTTGAAGGCGAGGGCAGTAAGATGGGCGTACTTCGGCTAATCCAGGCACATGCATCACACGACCATACACCATACACGACCTCAGGAAGGTCTGCTGCAGCTCCCTGTCCTGATTTGCCTCTTCAATGCGCTTGACGAACTGGGAGTTTTCTATTTGCAACTGATGGAAGTCCTGATGCAACGGGTAAAACACAGACCTTTGCCTTGAAAGCACCGCCCGTCGGCGCCAACTCAGCTCCATGCAATGTATTGCAAGTCGTCACCTGTTTCCGCTTTCGACTTCAACTGCTGCTCAGCCTTTGCGCTGGATCGCCACTGCCAATCACTCTGCACCCAGCACATGCTGCCTTCTTGATCGCCACTTTGTATGCTTGGTTCTTCATGAGAAGCTTGTTGATTTGCATATCCTTCTCGGATTTCGGATCAGCTGGCCGAAAACTGGCCAGCTCGCAATAAGCTGGGGCAGAGCAGTCGACCAGCCTTCTGTGTCAACTTGTCTTCCATGTATTTGAGGACCTAGCTAGGTTCGCAAGCTGGTCTATCAACGGTCAAACTGTCCACCACACCAGCAAATTTTTGCACACCATGACATGAGTTGCCCAAGGGTGTAGGCAGTGTAGACCCGCAGGCCTTCTCTGCGACGGTCTTGCCAGTGCGAGGGTTCTCCGCACCAACGACGATGTCTCGCCTGGCGTCGCAGGAGGTGCAGCGACAAGAAGCTACTTCGACTCCGCCAGACAGGGCAAAGTACGGAAACTGTTACAGGTCAGCAGCGTACCACCAGCGCCTGAACTCGTAAGCATCTCGCTTGACCTCTGCTATCCTGATGTCCGTTTCCTGCAGGGCCAAGCGCTGTGAAGTAACCACATTGGAGATTGGCTGGTTCCGTCCTCCATCAGTGCCTTCAAGATGTCAAGGTTCTGATCGGACGTGAGCTTCGTTTGTGCCTTGCAGACAGTAATCAAGCCTGAAGCTCCTCGCTGCACACGCAGGTTGGGTACATTCGCAAGTCGGCTGCAATGCAACACAGCGCCTGCTTTTTCAGAATCCAGCTTGCGAATGCAGCTGTGCACTGAAACAGTCTGCCACAGGCATGCGCTGCGGGTTTTTCGGTAAGGAAGGATTTACTTCGCCCTTGACTTGACGTAGCTCTCCAGAGCAAGTGACCAAGCTTCTTGGGTCAGTCCCTGTGGCAAGTGCACTGCTTGCACACCCAAGGACCTGGCACATGTGACCGAAACATGAGTGTTGTCAGAGCATGCCAGAGCATAGCCGTATCCCATGTGCTGCTTGTAAACGGGCCTTACAGATTGAACATTCTCTGCAGCATCGTCAACGAAAAGGACGTCACTGGGAGAAACGGCAGACTTCGAAAGCAGTGCCTGGTGCGTCATGGGCAGTCCAATTCTGGCATCACGAGCAGGACTGTGGAGTCATCTCAACACATAATTCGGAGGTAACCTCAACTCGACAGATCTTTGCCTCGCCTCCAAGTGCGGCCGTTTGCCCTCGCCGCGCCGGTAGTACATCTCGAACAGCCTGATGTGATGAACCGTCTAGGAGTTCCGACCCGCTGTGTCGCCTCATTTAAGAGCCCCGCTTGGGATCGATCACGTCCCACATAGACACGCCGGGCACAATCTCCATCGTCTTCAGCAAAGGCACCGCCTTGTGCCTGCGGGAGCTACCTGCAATCCAACTGCGTCTGGCGGCGTCCGCGGCATGTGGACCACTGCACATCCGCTTTGCTTCCTAGCTGCTGGCCACTGCCACGCGCACGCCGCGTGAGCGGGCCTCTGGGCTGTGAAGCCTAAGCTTTTCGGGTTCATGTCTCATGCAACAGCAAATCACATGGAGCAGCAGGCACTTATTACAAGCTTCTTTTTCACCTGCACGTGTAAGAGGCGTTGAGCATGGTGTGCCTGAGATCGCGAAAACTTGCTCCTGCAAGGATGAAACACAGCTGCAAAGTAGTGCACCTACATATGTTGCAAGAGTTCTTCCGTTGCCCACTTGGCTTCGTCAAAGGTCGACCGTTCAGTTCTCCCAAGGGTCGCTGTCACGCACGTACCAGAAGTAGGTCACCATCGGGGCGATGAAGGCGCCCACAAAAAGGATGCCGAAGACGCCGATGTACTCGTCGAATTTCGCCTCGAACTTTTCGTCGGCTTTGATGAACTTCTCGTCATCGATGAAATCCTTCTTCTTTGCAGAGCCTTTCATGGTGTACGTTCCGTCAAGACCGCCGCCACCCTTGCCGCCCATGGACACTGGCAAGTCCTCGGCCAGGACGATGTTTGAGGAGTCAACATAGCTGTTGGCCACATGAGCCTCAGCAACGTTGCCCTGGGTTCCCACGGCCAACACTCCAGCCAGCGCCGCAGCACGCAATGGAGCGATGAATGCTGGCAGCTGGGAGAACAAAGCCAGGACGGCAGCGACAGCGAGCAAGGCCCCAAGCTTGGACTGCCGACGGAAGGTCGCCATGTTCACAACTGACTCAGACTGGCTTACTCAGAGAGCCGAAAAGCTTGGCAACCGGGCACTCCAAGAAAGGCATGGTGACAACGTGTGACAACTGACTCTGGTGTCCCAGCTCATGGCAAGGAGCATCTTCCAAACTGCCTGGACCGCTGGGAAGAGCCGGATCTCCTCGACTTGTGACCCGAATCTCCCACAAAGAGATGGCCAAGTGCAAGCGCGCATCAATGCACTTTTGCGCCTCACCCCTCGAGTTCTTGACCAAGCCCTGGGCCACGAGGCTGTAGGGTTCGCCCCCCTTGGTCTGATACCTGCACTGTGCTGATACAACTCTGCCACAAAGTTGTTGATTGCAGCCGTCTATAACTTGGTTAAGGTGAGTCACATCTCGGGAGACCAGCAGACCTTAACCACACTGCACAAGAGCCGTCAGCACTTCTGCCGAACTCTCCGAAGATGGAAAACTGTACCATTTAAGCAGCACGACTCCGTCCAGGTCGAACACCATGAGCAACGGCAATGATTCCACGTCCTCGGAGGCATGTGGTCCGCCGACCAGAAGGGAGCTCGTTTCTTCAGTCCCCACAAAAGCCCGTGATCGCTGAGCCGACGAAGTTAGGTTGGGGCAAGAGGAATACGTTGCACGAACATCTCTCCCTAGAAACTCCTGCATAAGCCTGCAACTTATCACATGCACTGGCTCGACCGGCTCCTGGCTGTTCAATGCCCTTAGACCAACTGCATACGACATGCTAACTTTCAGCTTGCATATTTCCACTGATTCGGCAGGTGGGTGATCAGCAGCCAACTGTACCGGGCACGGCTGATGCAGTTTTGCCTGACTCCGCGTCTGCTTAAAGCACACGCCGTTGCGGCAAGCCCATTACTATCGGATCGAAAAATTCCCATAAGCCCCAAGACATACATCTCTGGTTTCAAAAACTGCATTTTTTAAGCAATTAGGATCGAAGACAGCTCATCATCTGGTGAAAACCAACAAAGTGTCACGCCAAGCATCAGAGATGGTTGGCCTCGTCGCAGAATCACATGCTCGTTCGGCGCATGCAAACGCACACACACTCACACACACACACACACACACACACACACGCACGCACACACGCAGACCGTGGATGTAAAGTGATACACGTCTTTTTGTTGCTACTGCCAGGACCCTTAGTGTTGGGAACCTGGGGCATTCATTCTGACGATGCAAAGCGCAAGGCCTCTCGTGCAGCAACGTGCGAGAGCTTTGAAACTTCTGCCTTCGGCTTCGAAATAAAATCAAGGTACAACGAATAATATGATACAATACGTCACAAGCTGCAGGGATACACGGTTGATCAGGCCGCGCATCGCCAGGGTAATTGAAGTGTCTTCTTTGGTGGCGCAGACTGGACCGTGCTGCCACCCTCCAGTGTAGACTCAAAGCGTACACACACGCACCCTCTTCAGGGGGATGCATTACAACAACCTGTTCGGGCTTACTCAGGGCTTACATCGAACAAGGACATGTTGCACCAGCTCTGGGTGCTACGGAACCTACGGCGTGGCAGGGGCTAAGCATGTCACCGTGTCGCTGCAAGAAGGTAAGCATCAGCTTGGCACGCTTCAGAACATAGAAAATGTCAGTCAAGCACATGTGTCTCTGCCAAGCATCTCTGCGCGGCTGTTGCTTTGGGCATCGTAATGCTTCCAAGATGCTGTCGTCCTTCTGATGGCAAATCGACCTTACAAATATTCGGACAGGCCGGCTTTTGCTCACCTCAAGTTGTTTGGATTGTGTCGACTCACCTGATATCGAATGGCACAACAGCTCAGCATCACTTTCAGCGCATTGCAGACTCTCCGATGAAGAGGGCGGTGGCTCCGTTGCGATCCTTGAGGAAGGGTTCTCGGATGTTTGTGAGGCAACCTGTTCAATCTCCTTCAATTCCTCGGATTCAGGTATCAAACCAGGGTCCGAATCGAGCTCAAAGCTTGCTGAGTGTATGGTTGAAGACACCTCGGCAGTCTCGTGGTTCATTCGAGACGGCAAGCAAGTGCTTCCAATGCTCAATTCAACTCGCGAAACACTGTGCCTGCCAACATGTCCGTGCTTCCAACGAGAAGGCGAAAATCCTTTCTCGTTCATGCGGGGCTACACGTACGAAAGTCACCGGCTCCTATGTTCTGAAAGCTGTGATCGGCTCAGTGAATGCTCACATGTTCTCCATTCTGGTGCAATTAGAGACCACGCAGCTGTGGTCTGCGTCCGGTAATCTCCCTGACCCTATAGTGCAGTATTTTCTTGACGTCGTCGGGCAGTTAGCTGTATCCTTAGTGGCTGCCAGCGCGTGCAGCCGCCTTCTGGTATGACCTTCGATGCTTTACTAGCCGAAAGGCACCTCGGCACGAGTGCGACTGTGTGCAGGGAATCCCGCTTGCGCCGTGGTGCGCTTCATGCCTAAACCTGATTCAGCTTGCACGGCTGTGATCCACAGCAAACATGCAGAGTATTGGTACAGAGACTCCTGCACAGCTCCCGCATTCCCTGGCAATCTCTGGTATCTACTCTGACCAACCAGAGTGTTTCGATCCAGCTCCAGCAAATCGTATGTCAGTCAAGACAGATCGGCGCTTTCACCCGAATCGGCCGGATGAACGGTATCACCTGGGTGTCGACAAAAGCGTTTCCTGAGTAGATGATCTATGCATGTCCCATGTTTTGTCGATTCTTCCACTCATCCGCGGAATGTCCTTAGTAGTGAACATGACATCAGCGCTTGCGAGCTCTAGCTTGGGTTTGACCCATGACCTTGACGGGCTTCCGAACCTAGCGGTAATTGATATGTTAGTGCGCGCGCAGCAGACTCTAACACTCCAAGAGTACAGTGAAGTCGTAATCCGTAGCAGGCGGCTCACTTGATGTCGCTGGCACCAAACCATAACAAGTCAACGGACACGAAAAGCTGGCAACTCTCCGCCTGCCATCCTGCGGCAGCTGTTGAAACATGTTTGGAAGGCCGTAAGCACGGGGCTGACAGTTTTCATTCAAATCCCGAGCAACGGCCTGCGGATGTGAGTTCGTGGTTCCTGTCACGTCTTCCGGCGTGATTCCTACGCAGCATTTTATGACCTGGCGAGAGACTGACTGCCACAGGGCCACAGCCACATTGATCAGCAAAAAGTCTTTGCGAATGCACCCGGATCTCTTCAGACTCGGCACGTTCACCTGAATCGGTCGAATCTGATTCAACAGTAGAATGTCAACGAACACGTTTTCTTCTTTCAATGTTCCATGTCGGGTCGGGTACGCGCGGAATATCCCGTGCGCGCAGCGCACGATCACATACCAAGACTTGCGTTGCATTGCAACTCGTAGTGGAGGGGCAATCTGGCATCGGTTGCACCACGCGTTTACTCAAATCTTGGGAGCGGACTATAGCATTTTCCCACAGAAGAAGCGAAAACCATTCTGCACGCGTGGCGATGTCCACGAAGCTGAAGGTCAGTGTCACTGGAGCAGGAACACTCGGTGAACATGTTGGGCGGATAGGCTCGGGGACTCTATGACTCTATGAAAGTCGCTTGAATTGAAAACCGAGGCATGCTTGTTGCAACACCAGTCAGGGTGGAGTCGACTGCCTGGACTTGGGAAGTGCATCTCACGGCAACAGCCCAACGACGCATCCGATTTTCAGAAACGCAAACGGCGAGCGCGGTGCTGAAGGCTCTGCAAACTGAAACCTCTGTGCTGTTATAGAGCGCAATTAAGTCCTCCACCTGCGGTCCAATTAGCCTGAAAGGTCTGACGTGGCGACGGACACTCAAAGCTCTGGCTGCAAAACCTGACATGGCTGCTGCGGTAGCACCCGCAGACCGAAGTGATCTGAAGGCGGTGATGTCTTCCGGCTGCTGCATTGTGATGGTACCCTGCGTCGTCGAGGTGACAGACCCTATGAGTTGCCCACCTGTTGCAAATAGTCGAGCACGTATCCACAAAACGCGATCCAAGAGGCGGTGCATGGGGTAGCAGTTGACAGAGCGCTGGTAGGGTCAAGGAAACGCATCTGGAAAAATATGGAGCAATCTGACGAGCCGAACACGAAACACTCCGAAACACTGCGTTGACAGACACTCTGGCGTGGCGCGGTGCTCCGGGTTGCGTCGGTGAAACAAGTCACTCTTGCGCTAACAGGTAACATGCTCCAACAAGTTGACCTAGCGACTTCTCGCCGATCTCAGCAGCAGCACACACCTGCAGCCCCCACTTCACCGCAACGCTTTCAAGCTGTGGCTGCCAGGCTCAAACGGACTCAAAGCGGCAACCAACTCATCACTGGCTGCGCGAACCTTGGTCATTCTGTCTTTGCCGACATTTTGGAAGAAAACCATGCGTTGACCGTGCCCACCTTACAGTTGTCGAATTGTAGCGAATGTAGCGCTTCCTGAACTCTCTCAAAGCCCTGCTCAGCTTCCAACGGATCAGCAAAGTCTTGATCCGCCATGCCTTGGGCGGTCTCACTGGGTGAGAAGTTGGGAGACAAGTCAGAGTGACTGCGGCCAAATCATCACAGTCTTCTGAGACAGGGACTTCGACGTCCTGATTAACAACAAGCATGACAGACGGTTCCGCGGCGGGCTTTTCCTTGGGGCAGCGGTAGGACGGCGGGGGGCGCGGGGCTGTAGCCCCGGATGCTTTGGGAGTGGCAGCGGCCCTGGGCGCGGTCACACTGTTGGGTGTCCGGAAGCTCTTGGGGGGAGGGAGTCAGTTGGGAGCCGCGGCGCCTGGCTTAACACTCTGTAGAGCCCCTCGCTCCGCACTCTTGTGTTGAGCATTCTCTCTCTGCGATCACGAAATTGATTCAACATGGTCTGGTTCGCTGACACGCCTCTTTGACGCACCGTCTTTACCAAGTCCTTGACCAAATCTTTGGTGGCACTGTACCGGTTGTCCCATAAGTGAGGATCCTGTCCTGAAAAGACTGCCTCAGTCATATGTGTCAGGGCAGCACTCAAATCCGCTCCCACTGCGCAGTTGCTGTCTCCAGCATCAAAGTACCTGCTGGGATGGCTTCCTGTCGGGACTTGAATAACTCCCACACGGTAGGTCGTCTGTTTGCTAACGAACGAAGACCCCACTTGCTGAGGCCAGCTGTCATGACTTGGGAACGACGCACATCAAGAATGTCCATGGGAAGGTTGAGGCCGTATCCCCTGTTGCTGCGGGAGATCTTGACGCGTCACCTGTCGGGAATCCGGTCGAGCCTCGGGCGTTTCTGGGGCGAGACATGCTTCGATTCCGGGCTGTCTGTCTCGGTCTCTGCTACGAGACCTGGAACCCTCAACTCTGTAGCCTCGGCGCGACATGTTCCTAGTTGGGCAAAAGCGTTCCTAGCTGAGCTGACAAGCCAGAACCTGTGCGAGACAGCATAGTCGGTGTGGGTATGCTGCATCTGACTTCCGTGGCTGCAAACCTGGCGAATCCTGCAAGTTCTGCAACAGCATGTTTTGCGAAACCTTAGCGGCAGCTCTGAACCGGTCGCAGATGAAACTGCGACAACATGCAAGCACCAAGGGTAAAAATACGTTCGCCGAACCTGACTCCTGACGTGTGTTGGGCCTAAGTGGAAAATCGGCCGCGCAAGTCGATCTCTGAGTGGCTGGAACTGCGTGCATGCAGCAAGAACAATGCTGCAAATAGTCGTCAGGTCTGGGTGCAAGAGCCACCTCATATCACGCTTGCAATGCACAGCCGCGTGATCATGTTTTGCGCTTCCTGACCCCCGCCTGACTCCAACACGCAGTGTGCCGCTGGAGTTGTGACATACCCCTGCATGATAACACGGCACTGGCACTTTCCAGAACAATGGCCAGCCGCACTTGGACCGTCTGCCAAAGTGGAACGTGCAGTGTTCGTGCCATGAGCCAAAAGCAGCGTGTACCTGTGTACTGCCGGATCATCAGGTTTGGTCGAAAAATCAAACTTCAAGTGATGCTTCCAGCGCACCTGCTGTTTGGATTCATGACAAGTCACTTTATCGAACACCTGTTCCTTGCCACCTGTGTTACTCTTTATAATGTTTGCGATGTAAGTCCACTCCATCAAAAGTGGTACATGAACACTTGCCTCATGGTACAATCTCACGAAGAAACGCGCATTTCTCTCCACCAAATCAGGGTGATTGCGGGTGACCTTGATGGGTTCTGATCAGCTTTACAGACATAGCATCGCCAACCAATGGCCTCACGTTCAATGCGATGCTCAGTCCCCAACTGCTGCTACTGCTGCTGCTGCTGCCTGCTATGCTTGAGTCTGGGATCAGATGCAACACGAGGTGTTCTGCTGGAGACGAAGTTGCTTGCAAGGCTTCCGGCTGAAGGCCGTCCGGGCTTATCGTCGTCATCCGCGGGATAGCCGAAAACTCCTGCCCTCGGAGGCTCAACGGGATCACCTGCAAAGTTCGAAGGTTCCATGTGGTCACCTGGTAGCAAACTGCCCAAAGCACCTGCCATCTGAGTACGATCCTGTTTCCCTTCAGGATTGGATCTATTGGTCGATGCTCCTTGGCGTTGCTGTCGCGCCTGTCTGCTAATAGAACCTGAAGCCTCCATAAGAGAGGCGTTTCCCTTTGGGTTTGCGACTCCAAAGGAGCACGGTGCTCGCTTTGAACTGGCGGGTCCGGTACTGGGTTCGGTAATTCTTGCACCTCAGCATCGGACGAAGAAAAGAACACACCGGCGTTGTCGGGGATGTTTGTTGAAAGTCTAAGAAAGCTTGCACGTCCATCCCAGCACTTGCAGCAAACGGGATGTCGCAACTTGAGGCAAAATCATCGGCTTCCTGACTCACGTAGAGTGAATCATTCGCACCTGTGCGTGTAACGTCCACACCTGAAACGTCTGAAGAGTCAGAAAAGATACCAGCCATGGGGCGGAAAGGGAAGTTCCAAAACTCCAAGCTCTCTACGACCTGTGGCACCGAGGCTATCTGCCGCCGAGCAGAAAGTTGTACTCAGACCTGAACGGATGTTCTGCTCAAGGGTCACGTTTTGTGTCTAAGCAGATGTAGGGCGGTACCTACGACGAGAAAGAAACAACGGCCCGCGCTCTGGTGCTTTCTTTGGCATGTTCTGTCAAGTCCTGCTCGTCCCGATGTAATGGCAACAGGGACCCACGGAGACGGTGGATGTAAAGTGAAAGAAGCTTTGTGCTGCTACTGCCAGATACTGCCAGGACTTGAGTAGCCTTGGTGTTGGTAACCTGGGGCATTCATTGTGACGATGCAAAGCGCAAGCGCTCTCGTTCAGCAAAGCGCGAAAGCTTCTGAAACTGCGGCTGTCGGACTTCGACATACAATCAATGAGTACCTCACGAGCTGCAGGTACACACGGTTCATCAGACCATGCATCACCAGGGCAACCAGAATGTCTTCGTTGGTGGCAGACTCAGGACCCTGCTGCCAGCCCATGCTCTTCTGTAGCGACGAAAATACCAAGCACCTTTAGATTAGAATCAAGGCGTACACAAACAAACACACACACACACACAGAGACACACACGCACACACATCGATTTGAGTGCAAGGGCCCCGAAAACCACCATGCGAACAACATGCCCAGAAGCCTCAGTCTCTGACTGGCTGAACAGCGTCATCGCCGTTGCCGGGATTGCAGATCCTTGCTGGCCGCGCTACATCAAGGCTTTGAGATGTCCATGACTTCAATCCGAAGCAAGATTAACATTGATGGGCCTGCTGGCCCTGCACTTGAATGCACCTGATGCCGTTGGCTGTCAGGCGCTCTGTCAGCAATTCTGGCCATGCCCTTTCGAACAGTTTTCCGGCAGCGACTACTGGGTGCACTGAAGTCTGCATGTAGCTTGCATGAAGAAGCTGTGGTAGCTCAACATTGCCGGGAGTCGGGGCAGACGAACCGTCCACACACCGGGCTGGCCTTGCATTGCTCTGCGAAACTCTCTGCGGACATGCCGAGCCATCAGACTGTCCCTATGTCTCGATCTCGTCTGTTGCTGAGACACCTCTTCAGCCTCCTGCGTGTTCTTGATGGAAATGTTAAATAAAGTGTTCGGGCGGTCCGATGCAAAGCTCAAGCTTTCACTACTGTCACAGTTTGCCGTGAATACAAAAGGTCGTGGTGGAACCAAAGCCTTTAGCTCATGCCACCGAAACGGCCAATTCGATGAATTGTCCTGCCTAACCTGATTTGACACTCCGAAAGCCTGAGCTTCAGGATTGCTTTTTGTGATTGGCTGACGGGAAGCCATGCGTTGTGAATGCCGGGTGCCAGGGAGGTCTGTGCCACAATTGCACGGCTTGCTTCGTTGCGGATCGTCTGTGCGTGAGGGCTCTCTTTTGGCATAGCACGTGGTGCGGATTTGCTGTGTCTGGCAATTGCAAACGACTGCAAGGGAATCAGCAACCGCTGATTCCCTGGGGTCTTGGCGCATGGGTTGAGGGCTTTGCCAGTGTACTGCGCAAAAGCCTTGGAGCCTGTGGTGCTCCATGGTGCGGCTCTAACGCGCTTCCAACAGGCGTACAGTCTTGGGACAGTGAGGATCGACACGCTCGGTCTGAGAAGGCAGTGTCGGATTCCGGCTCCGGGAAGCTTCGGAACACCTGTTGGCCATCTGGATCTGCTCGTTGCAAGTGGTCCGACGTCTGAACCTTTCAGCTGTTGAAGCCGGCGAACCACTACGTCACTACGTCGGGGTGGGACATGGCAACTCGCACCGATCTAACCCTGTGATCACAGGACTGCCAAACTCTCCATAGGCAAAAAGAGGAGTAAGCAACCGCGCGCTTTGGCACATCCACTAATTACAAAGTCACTGCACAAGGCAGTTGAACAAAAGAATTCATGCTGCAACTTCTGTCAGGGAGACCTTTGCAGTCCTAGCATGCAATGGTTTGAAGAGTTTTTCTTGGAGACTTCATGAGTCCAAGCATCTATGTGACATTTCTCCTTTCTAGCTGGGCCGTCCTACACCGGAATGCCAGGTTGCTTCGGGAGCCGTCTCTCAACTGCCGAAGTCGCAAAGGTCACATGTGAAATGAAGTTTTGTGTTTCTCCTGGACCTTGAACAAGTCAGCAGCGGGTGGGAGAGCTGTGCCTGTCTGGGTCTGCAAGGATGTAAGGCGCACATGTTGCCTCAACGATGCGGTTCAGCTGCTCCGTTTTCAATTATATACCCAAGACAACCCAGGGGCCACTTCCACATGGCAACTCCGAGAATGTACTGCAGCTTCGCACGGGAAACACCCGAGTTTGGCACCCAGGCCACGCAACAGCTTTGATGAATCGCGAGATAAAGGGAAAGAGACCATCTGGGCAAGCAAACGACCGGGATAGTTGCCCTTGAACTCGTTGCGAGCTGAATGGTACAAGGCAGCATAAGTTGAGCGGATAAATGCGAACGCCCAGCTTCCGAAGGCAACGTCATCTTCTCCAACATCTGGGGAATGCGACAAATAGTGGGTCAAAGAAGCCAGAATGAGCACGCGGGAAATGTCATTTGGACATGTGTCAGCACACGATAAACAGCATCGTGCTGCAGATTTCTGTAGATCAGTGGGGTATCACTCATGGCATTCCGCAGGTGCAGCGGACAGGTCCAGGACATTCTGCCGCAGCGCCGTACCATGCACGTTTATAAAGTGCCGAGCACACCAAAAAAATGGAAGGAAATCTTCGTACTTTAAAGCCTGAACTCAGCCTCTTGAGCAAAACTAAACAGCTCATAAACACCCCTGGATTTGCAGATTGAAATTAATTAACCAATCCACCTTGGTAGCTTCGCCCTTCACCCAGAGGTGCCTCTTTCGCGAAGTGGTGTCTGGAGCCACCATGCGCTCAAGACAGGCGTAGCCCACTTCCCCACGGCCTAAACAACAGGCACATAATACTCGAAACTGTGCGCCGAAATGGTTCCCTGCCTCAGACGTCACTGAATTCTGAACGGCGGGTGACCTGATGGACGGTGGCCGAGCAACTCCACAACATGAGCATCAAGCGGAACAAATCAAGGAACGGTGACTGCCGATCAAACTTAGTCTGGTTGAATGCAGGCGTGTTCGATGTCAGCAATACAGCCGGTTCCATCGAAGATTCCAGTAGGAGATAGTAGGAGCGAAGAAGGCAGCATTCGTGCAAAAAAACACATGACATCACGACCTACGAGTATCTGGACCAAGCCTCAATTCATCCGCAGTATACCTTAAATCTGAAACAGCGCATTCTTCACTCGAACGCATGCACTTCAGTCGCTTTGCACGCGCACATGCTCTTCTCAAGATGTTTCAGATCTCTGTTGCGGGCTGTTGCAGCGTCAAGCAGCTTCCAAACATAGCCCAGTTTCTGTCGCGTGGCATCGAGGTCAAGCAAGCCCAGCACCTGAAGGGACTCAGCTGAGTCGCCTTTGAGATACACGCGCACATCCACGCCTGGCCGCGGTTCAGACCATCCGGGGGTTTCAGCATTCGCTGCAGGTCTTGGTCTTCCAGCAGACCCCGCCGCCACAGAAATTCCAAGGCGACCTAAGTTTGAAGGCATCTCTCAGTTTCTTTGCCCGGAGAATGGAGGTGCTTGTCGTGGCTACCAGCATCGTGGCTGAGACCCATCTGGTTGGCAAGCCAAGTTCGGAAGCACACGGGGGCTGGAAAGGAGAAGCGAGGGGAGAAAAGCCTGTTGCGGCCACCACTCACTGTGCCAGACATGCTAGATGTCTGGGACCGCAACACCCTCATCCATGGTCTTGTGGCCGACATGCAGAAGGCAGGGGCCTTGGTGGCAAACGGCACGTTGTCGACACCACATTTCGCACACCAGATTCAGTTCTCTCAGCAAACGGCCGACTACTCCCCTGAGCATGGGGTGGTTTCGCGTTTCCACCGTCTTCACACCGTGCAACCTGCAAGCATTTGCGTAAGGTGTTAGCTGATCCGCCCGTCCATGCAACACTAGCAACTCAGGTCCTTGCAACAGCGACGCATAAGGATCTCGCATGGAAAAACACGGCAGCTGCAGAATGTCCTGCAGACTAACCAACTAACCGTAACTTGCCCCGCTCAAGCCAAGCAAGAGATGGGAAAAACAAATCTCGTCGGCTGGGCTGTGTTATTCGGACTTTTCCCCTGCCACGACGAACGACGACGACAACAGCAACAGCAACCACAACTTCAACTACGATCTCAACCACACCCACAACCACAACCCCAGCAGCAGCAACAACAACAACAACGCCAAGACCAGCTGCAGCAGCAGCAGCAGTAGCAGCTGCAGCAGCAAACCACCAACAAACAATCAAACCCAACAACCCAACCACCAAACAAAAAAATTGCGAAAATGCGCTGTTCCACAATAGCACACGAACGGTACCCTAAAGTAGAGTGTGCACTGCTCACTCAGCTTCAGATCAAAATAACCCTGAAAGTCACGGAGCGCCTCTTTCCAGGGACTGCACAAAGTACATCATGATCTTGAGCTAAGGAAGTGGCATTGGAGAAGGTGGGGAGGACTTTCACTCTATGCAATTTCACACGCCTCCTTGAATTACAAAGTGTACACACTTGTGCATTCATACTCGAAAAAGTATACTATAGAAGAAAATAGAAGCTCACGAATAAAGATTCTTTTCAGGGGGTTCGTGGTGCAAAGTCGTGTGTTGCACTGTGCAAAAGTCTCCAAAAAGTTGCCTCGAGGGAAAGAAAAGTGAGTCGTTGTGCCAAAAGTTGCGTTCTCGTATACCACATCAAAATACAGCGTGGATGGTCGGCCCATCAAAGTGCAGCGACCAGCTTGCCGAAGCGTAGCAAAGTACCCAAGGGCCCAACCAAAAATGTGAAAAGTGGTCCCGAAAAGTGCTACATATAACATAACCATTTCAGGAAAAGTGCCCAAGGATATGCAAATCCTGAAAAGTGGCACTGCCTCACAGTCGAGATCTTGCACAGTGCTGCAGGAGCTTTTTCGGGATAAAGTCCCAATCAGGAGCTTGCAGAACAGAGTCTCAGGCGTGGGCTGGAATCGGCAGGTGAAAAAGTCGGTAAAACCCACCACTGGGATTCTGAAACAAGGTGTTCAGAGCCCCGACGCCAAAGTAGGGTTCTACAGGATGAACCAAAGTCACCATCGACTGTAAAGTCGCAGCATCTTCCTGATGCGTCAGCACCAAAGTGCCACTCATGGCGACGAAAAAGTCGAAGTAGTGCCTGTTCCATATCCTGGTGCTTTGCAAAAGTTCAATCCACTTGCGCCACGAAAGTCGCATCCCCAAAGTTATAACCATTGCACCGAAACTAAAGTCCGGCCGACCTTGCTGCTTGCGGATGCTAAGATCGAAAGTCAACATAAGAAATGCTGACCGTGGCGAACAGCTAAAAGTTCAGGAACCCCTGGGTCCCCAAACGTAGTCGCTGCCCGGTGAGTGTCCTCGGCAGGCTCGGCGCGGCGTATCACCCATGTGAAACACGCAGGACTGAACCCATCCGTCCTTCCAGGCGACTCCTGCCATCGTCCATTGAGGAATGCTCAACATCTCTCGCAAGCCCGAGAGAGTGTAGCGTAGCTTTGATCCACCCACACATGCATTTGTTGACCCACAAAGGTCACGTATACGGCGGTTGCGTGCGCCGTGTGCGCAACAGTGCTTGCCGCTGACATGTTTCAGTACGAGCTGGCAGCAGCGCCAGCCAGCGGTCCTCCTCGGTCGATGGTTTCGCCCGAATCTGGGCTGCGTCTCTGCCAGGGACCTGCGAATGGAAACTCAGTAATGCCCTCTCCTTCAGGGATTGTAGACGCTTCGCTACGTCGTTCTGCCTACCATCACACCTCGATCGAGGTGTTAAGTGTCGCAGCAGCAAGGACGCGCCACTATGTTTGTCGGCGTGGAGGAACGGTGGCAGGCTGCTTCGTCGCTTAAGGGCTGCCGACTGCCCTGGTAAAGACTGCAGTATGCCCGTTGGCAAGAGAGCAGGCATCGAACGGATTTCTCAAAGCTCGGGGAATGCCTTCCAGGACAGCCTGGGTGGGCTGCTGTGGGATTGCTGGTGGCGCGAACTGTACGCCGGGCGGTGCCCAGGTGGCGAGTCTGCAGGTAGCGAAGCTGGTTGTCGCACCGTCTTATAAAGTGGGCATCCAGACTCGACGCGCCTCAATCTTGGTCTGGGTCACACAGAAGAATCTGAAACGCCGGGCGCACGCGCTTACCATGGGCCAACTTCCTGCAGCATGGACAACGCTTCCACAACTGTTTGCGCAAGTGGCGTATGTGTGCGTTTATTGTTAGTGTGGCCCTTCTGGTCCATTTGCGCTGGCCGAGTGCGTCGTCTCTGTATCGCGCAGGAGCTGCTGCCTCGGGTGTCGGGCACAGCGTAAAACAGCGTTGACGATCCTGCAGCTGGATCTATTCGTCGCAGCTTGTCCGGCTCCGGGCAGGACCCTCAGAGCAAATGGTCCTTGAGGCTCTGCCACTGCGAAAATGTTCGCTGACAAGCTGCGCACTGAGACAGTTTTGCATGGCGTGTTCCGGCTTGAAAGATAAAAGGAATGTATCGATCAGCGGTGCCTGGATGCATCCTGCCGGCACGCGTTCACAGACCAGCTTGCGTTTCGGTCCAGTGGAGATCTCTCAGGACTCCGCAGCTGTGCCCGGATCTGAGGCTCCCACGGCCTCAGTTTCCGCACGGATTTGTGGGCGACGTAGGCATCCCCCCTTTGGCAGGCCTCGTCGACCTCTCTTTGGAAGTCTTGCGTGCGCTGCTTCCTAGCTAGGTTGATAGCTTGTTTACGCCAGCAGCCCAAGTCCTCAAGAAGCTGTGTGTGATCTGCGTCAGTCAAGGCACAAGAAGCTACTTCCCGCTCCAGTTGCCTAAGTCTAGTTCGAGTCCACATGCATCAAATGGTGGCTTTGCGCTGAGCATTTTGAGGCTTAGCCATGTGCACTGCCTTAGGGAAAAAGCTCCGATCCCTCCAGCAAAACTTGGTTAATTTCGTGGGGGTATAAACTTGGTGAGATAACTTGGAACCGGCCCATGTCTGCATTGCTTGCGCCTGTTGGCTGTTCGCTCACACGGCAAAGGTTCCAGTGTCTGATCGGCCTCAGGAGCGGGAGGTGTCCGCCCTTTTCCAGCGTCGCACACCCGTGTCCTTAGCTGGAAAGGATTTTTTGGCCCGTCCCCTTGCGTCCTGGTAGGACCCTGTAAAAAAAGTGTATCCCCGGCCACTGCGCCAAGTGTTCAGCCTATCAACCTATGTGACTCCACGAATCGCTGGAATGCTTCGTCTTGTGGTCCTACCTGCTCAGCCGGGGCGCTGCAGTCGCCAATTAAGCCCGAACAGGAATGATGCTGTGCGTTGAAGTCTTCCGCCAACAGCAGTGTATCCCGAGAGGAGACAACCAAGATCTGCGTTCGAGCTCCCAGGCATGGGAGTGTCGCCCGCACTAATCGTCCTCGGATGTGTTCCTGCCACCGGATCTTCTTCTCCTTCACTTCCGGAGAAATGACGAGCATGACCCCATCTGCACGGCTGGTGTCGCCGGTCGGGGCCTGTTGCGGGCCGGTGGCTGCCTCCTGTGGTGCAGGGTGGGGCTGCTCCTTTCCGTGCAGAGCGAATACATTGTCATTGCCAGCCCTCCACTACGAATTCGGCAGTCACACCGTTCCTATGCGTCTCGTGGAGCGCTAGCACATCACGGGTGCTCTTGGCACTGGTGTGAAGCCACGTCTTTATCTCTGACCATTGCTGCAGAACCCTTGAAGGCCTTCCTGCAGGTCCCCTTGCAGGCCTTCCTAAAGGCTATGTTGCGTGTGCTCTGAAATAGGCGAAGCGATGCTCCTTTCACCCTGCGGACAAATCAAAACCCCCGTCTAGGCTGTATCAGCATTCGTCGGGAGGCCCGGGAATTGGGACCCGGCAGATCACAGAGGCGCTTGGCCGCGGCGCTCTCAATGGCTCAGTCAAGCGGTCAACCCTTACGCTTAGCGAAGGGAGCCTGTTGCGAGCCTCTAGAGTTAGCACCCGCAGCCTGGTTGGCCGTGCTACACTGCCCAACAACAACAAAAACCACATTTCATTCACACACAGCGGGAGGACGTTCGCAAGTCTGTGAAACTCTTCCTCAAAAACCACAACCACAACAACGACAACAACAACAACAACAACAGCGGAAAGCTGTTGCAAAATAATGCAAAATCCAGGCCCAGTCATGAAGCGAATTCGTTTCCATGACAGAAAAGAAAGGGTGTTCTTCCGAACCGACCCTGTCACGATAAGACTCCATGGGTATGGAACTCAAAAGTGGAGTTCAACACCAGCCATCTGAGAATGTGTGCCATGCAACAGGATTTAATGTTGAGTCCACCCCCTGCATGATGTGAGGTCACTGCTACGGCACGGCATGTCGGACATGTGATCGACCCCCAACCCTACCATATTGCGACTATGCTTCTATAGCATGAGAGAAAGACATTTGTTCTAGAGTAAAGGTTTTCGGATTGGAGAGAAGGCTGCAAACCCACGTCTCATGCCATGCTATGACGAATCGCATGGGATCTTGGCTCATGGCGCGACCACTACTGCCCAACAACACGGAACACAAGACAGCAATGCACGTCTGCTGAAGCACGGCATCGAAAAAACTGTCACAGCTGGTCCCGCCTCCGACGCCGGAGCGGGAGCGCGGCCCTTTCCTTGCTGCCTCTTGGGATTGCTGGGGCCTCTCAGCTGCCGCTTCTTCGGTTGCACCCACTCTGCGGAGGCGCAACATGGCAAGAGCTGTCGGCGCAAAGGCCGCAGCACAAGAGCTGCGCTTGCGAGGGAAAAACCAGCGCCGACGGAGTCGGATGCGAAAGACTTCCTTCGAGACTTCGATCGCCAAGACCTTCGAGTCGTGAGACTCCATCGAAGAAGTCGAGCAGCCGGAGCGGGGGCACCGACACCCAAAGGTGGTGCATTGATCACCCTCTGGTGCGCTTGCATTCAGGAGCACTTGCAGGGTGTCCGGGCACCTGTGTCGAAAACTATATGAGGGTGGGTTATTCTATTCCGCATAGTGCATGGCGTTGCTGACTGTGCTGTTGGGAGCCGACGTCTTGGCATGAACAGCTGCAGGACTGAGACGAGAAACTCTGCGACACCTCACTGGGTTCGCAGCTATGTCCTTCGTCAAAGCTTCCATCTGCGGGGCGGAGTCTCGACAAGCAGGCATTGAATTTGTCAGGAAATGCCTTGCCTCCTGGTTGGCTATCCTGAACTTGTCCTAACTGCAACGCTCGCGTCATGCAGTGGGACGGCTTGACCCCGATCCAGCTTCCAAACGTCCTCTAGGTTTAAAGCTGTCGGTAATTGGCGGCCCCGCCTTCGTACATCATGAACACTCGGGCAACAGCTTCGGGAGACCAGGCAAGTAAGAGCACGGCTGCTGCCCTTGCCGACCACCTTTAGCCGCCTCAAGCTTTTTGGTTACGGCCAGCACAAGCGGCATGCTGTTATCAACTGAGCACACGGCCTTCTTGCCCTTGTCTACAGGCGATGACGGGAGGTCTGACAAGGCCTGCATCCAGGCAGAAATGCATGCGTCAGCTGCACTTTGCTTTTGGCCTCATCTGTGTCCTCCAGGCCGGAGGCCCTCTCTGCATCCCGCTGCAAGTAGTCGGCGAGCATCTCATTCTCCATTCCTTAGCGGCGAAGCTCGGTAGACTTCGATCCATGATAAACGCATGCGAAGTGAGACCCATGCCCAGGATTTCATTCTGCTTCTGCAGGTCAGCAACCTGCCGCACTTTCGTCAGGCAAGTTGCCTCCGCTCTCGATCATCTGTCCGAGATCTGCATGCATCTTCATTGACCAAGCATCACAGCTAGTGACTGCTGATCACAGGTGCAATTGGCGAATCGCATGCCGACACAAATGATGCTCCGTGTTGTGCTGATGGCTCCACATCTCCAGCGATACTGCGACAGCTCCGCTCGGTGGTCAGGGGATTTGTTCAAAAGTGTCTGATGGCCACATGGCGGCTACATGGGCAAGGGAGGTTGAGGGATGAGCCCCTTAAGCGTGTAGTGAGATTTCTCTGACGGTTTCCAAGGTCATCCTAGAAGAGACCCTTTGCAGAAGCTGACACCACCTTGTCTTGCAGCTCTGGCAATGTCGCCATTCCGTGGCCTGTCGCCACATCACATAGCAAATCGGTGAGTGGACTGCCCCCTTTCACACTCGGCTGCGAACTCGGCAACTCAGCGCATGAAGACACACCAAGAAATGACTCCTACCTATCAAGCCGACTTCACCTTGAGGCCAAAGCCGCGGGATTATCAGAGGTCACTGCAGCACATGACATATCATTGCGCGTGAAGCAGCAGCTGGGACTTGCGAGGTTGTCGGGTCTGAGGCCCTCGGAATCAGATCGGAGGCAGAGCTGTACAAGCTGAAGAAGGTGAGGCCCTCCGAGTCATGCGGTAGCCTCTCAAATCCCTTCGAATTACGCCAATTGCAGTCTGACAGGAGCAACGGCGCAGCTCATTCTTGCACGACCTCTTCCTTCTAGTAACAGCCGCTTAAGGTCTGGCTCAACACAAAAATCTCGGAATCCAAGGGCACGAAGCTTCCGTGTCTGTATATCCGTGCGCCTGTGCGTCTGCCTCTCTTTGTCTGTGCATCTGTCTCTTTGTCCGCCTCGCAGGCCGTCTCTCTACCATCTCTGTCTGGTCTCTGGCCCGGTCCGGTCCTGCCCGTCTCTGTCTCTCTCCTCCTGTCTTTCGCCTTTCTTTCTTTCTTTCGCCAGGGCTAGGGGCAAGAGGCTTGTCTCTCTCTCTCTCTCTCCCACTCTCTCTGTTTCTGCTTCTTTCTCATCTTTCTCTGCCTCCACCGCTGCCTCTCTGTCTGCCTCTGCCTTTGTCTGTTTCTTTTTGTTTGTCTGTCTGTCTGTCTGTCTGTCTCTGCGTGCGTGTGAGCCTGTCTGCATCTAGCTGTGTCTGTTTGCGTCTGTCAGGGTCCGTCTGCTCTGCCTCCCTGAGTCTGTGTGTCTGTGTCTGTGCGGCTGCGGCTGGCTCTGATGCCAGCAATCACTTCACACTGCAAGTGGCGGTGGAGTCTGTTCCGAAGTGGCGGCCACTGTGCGGGCCAGCGAATCCAAACAATGGAACTTTCATTGAGCTATCGCGAATTCAGCGTTTCAGTTTCTTCATCCATGCTATCTTCGATGACCCATCTGCCGGCCACACGCTTGACCTGCGGCCTTGGCGGTTACATCCTTGCTTGGAAACGGATAATAATTCCGTACGCTGAGCCGCCATGCTAAGTCCGCCCTGGGAAGCCTGCTCGTCCTCTTCACGTGCTTCGGCAAGGCCCTGCGAGGACAGGAAACCACAAAAAACATCCAGCACACTAAGTGCTGACTCTCATACCAAGGCCAGGCACAGAGAGCTCTTCGGTCTGCATCTTCTTGAGGTTCTGTCGCCAAAAAACTTCTTCAAGTTGTCGCCTTGGTGATTTTCGAGTTCAGCAAATGGCGCGAAACGCAAAGCAGCTTATCGCAGCTCTGGCTTCGACAGCAACTGCCAGAAGTGTCTCTGCCCAGCAGGCTTTGCAGCCCCAGCTGCTGTTCCAGCTGCCGGGCTTTCAGCTCTTCAACGCGAGCAAGCTCATCGTAACGTCGCTCCCGCTCCTCTTCTGAGACCCAAGGCCTCAGAAGCGACGCAATGGATCCCTAGTGTGAGGCGGTGAACCAAGGCATTCTTGGAGGCTGAGATATGCACAGCTGCTCCGGAGCCAATGCAAAGTACAGCGACCTTAGCAGCCTTAGCACTTCCTGCCCTCCCATAGAACTCTCAAAGGCTGGGTTTGCTGAGTTCAGTTTTACTCAGGACCAGAGCGACCTCACAAAGTCCTGTCGGACAGGCTTGCTGCAGGTCTTGCCATCTTCCGCTCTGCGCTTTTCTCACGGCTCTTAGATGCGACACTGACTGAAGTGGTTTTGTTGCGTCCCTGGGCGATACTGATGCGGTTCAGCTGGGGGCCTGCCTCGCTAGTGATCTGAGTCTCAGGTGCTGGCACAGAAATGACGGCGAGGTATGGCAGGATTTCCAAGCGAAACTCTGGAGCGGCTTCTTCCAGTTCCTTTGAGGACACATAGGACACAGCATCAAAACAAGTGAATCGGCACTGTAAACAATATCTGAAGCAACGCGTCCTGTGGTGACGTTGGCCGTGGCCTGGAGATGTGCAAGGAAGTCGGTGCTGGGTGCCCAAAGCGACGTGGTCAGCCTGGAGGGTGGCGGACTTGGATCAGGCCGACCTGCAACAATTTCAACGGTCGCTCTTGGGATAACGAAACCAAATATTGAGGAATCCACTTGTTGCCCAAGTCGGGGGCTCAACCCATGTCTCCTGCATCGCAAGCTTGAGAGCTGAAAAGAACACCCTCTTTCTGTGGCTCTCCTCATCAGCTTGCCTTTCCTGCGGCTCCCGGTACTCCTTTGTGAAGCCAGATTCTGGACGGAATGGGCTTTCTTTGCTTTACATCTTTTCCGAGTTGCGCCCGTGTACGGGTTGTACCCGATCTCATCCCAGACCTGCGGCATCGGGGCACATAACACGACTTGACAAATTAAGGAAGGAGTTTTTTGCTCTGGGTTCTACTGCTGCTGTTGCTTCGAAACGGGCACCCAGCCATTTCTTGGAATTTATTTGTAGTCGGTGGACCCGGCATGACAAGACGATACCGGTGATTTTCCAAGACCGTTGGATTCCGGAGAGAGGCATGTCTACTTGACTCCAAGCACTGGGGAAATAGCGCAGCAGAGTCAGCAGCGAGGGATTCAAAAGTGGTTCACCATTCCGGTATCATAGGTCTCCCAACGATAGGTTTTGCGATCCAAGAGACGCATCCCAGGGTTTACCGCATCCTCGCACTGACATCAAGGGTGCCTGCTTAAAGCCCAAACCCGAGGAGTGGCCAGATCTTGTGCACGTGCTCGCAGTGCATCGGCATCGCGGGTGCAACCTCAGAGCCTTGATCATGATGGTGATGATGATGATGATGATGATGATGATGATGATGACGGTGATGGTGATGGTGATGGTGATGATGATGGTAATGATGATGGTGATGTTGATGGTGATGTGATGGTGATGAGGATGGTGGTGATGATGATGATGGTGGTGATGATGATGGTGGTGATGATGGTGGTGATAATTAGAATGGTAATGATGATGATGGTGATGATGATGATGATGGTGACGACGAGGGTGATGATGCGGCTGCTGCGGCCACCAACATGCTGCATTTACTGGAAGGGCTGCCATTGAAAACGAACGCCTGGGCCCACCTACTGTCCCCTACCGTCTATTATTCGCCAGATTCTCCTGCACCCGTACGTCTCGAAGCACCTGCAAGACATCGCCACTGCCATTTCCTACCAACCAATCCTCATACCCCCAATGCACTCCAAGAAAGCACCCGTTGCAAGCACTTCGGGAAAAAACACATCGAAACGGACCTCCTCCAGCTCTACATCTCGACCCCGAATAGGATGAATAGGAACAGGAAGACACCATCAAGAAGCCAAGGCTCCCTTTGCCTGGTTCAGATCTCTCGGGTTGTATCCACCGCTTTGGCTCCACCGCCAGTTGCCCGGTCTCCCAAAGCACGTCACAACACGCAAGTCACAGATGCCGTCCGCGAAAGCACCGGGACCGGCACCTCGAGAACTCGGCTTCTCTCTTCGCTTCGAGGTCTTCGGAAGGCCGAGGCGGCCAAACCATGGCACCGGACCTCTGACGAGAAAAGAAAGAGTAAAAAAGCCTATTACGCATCCTTCTATGAAAGCGCAAACGCCGGCCCTCAGCCTTTCGGGTGATCTGCACACGTTAGGGCAGAACTTGAGGTCGTTGCTTTGCAGTGGTCTGTCGCACGCCTGGAGAGTGGGAAATCCAGTTCTCAGGCTACATCGTGTCTTCTGGAATCTCTGCCATGTGCCATCATTCGCTGCATTCCTGTCTCATGGCTCTAGGCTGCGAAAGCTCCCAGCGTCGACGGCCACTGAGCACGGCATATGCGTCCAAGACTGCCATGAACTCCTCAGAATCTTCTGCCGCACCACCTGTCTGGCAGAAGTGCTTCACCTCATGCACCACAGAATTGGCACATCCAAGTTGCCTTGTAGGTCCGGATGAAGAAGTGCCACCTTCTTCCTGGCACTTGCAGGAGCCATGTAAAGAACCCAGGCGCAACAGCTTGCACCTGAATGCCCTCTTCACTTGCGTTGCATCCGGAGTGGTTGCTGGATCAAGGCCCAATGCTATCAACCTTGTACGCAGGCCATGCAATAAAGATAAAAAACATGCCAGGGAAATACGAGGACGTCAAACTCTCAGGACGATGCGCTGCGGAGCGATCTTGCGGCGCAAGCACAGGCAAGCTGCACACGGATGTCCTGACACGCAGACAACCAAACATGGCTGCTTGTCCGTGCTCGGCCTGGCTTGGCACAGTTGGGAAGCATCGCCTGCTAACACGGTGCCATCTGGGCAGCATCGGCCAGTGCATGATATCTGCACCTCAAGTTTGTCGCAGCATCTGTAAGTACACTGACACGGACAACGACGTATTTGACATTACATCACTGCCGTGCTAGAGCCACTAGCGGAAAGGCTATGTCTTCGACCTGTCAGTTTCGCTGTTTCTGTTTCCTGGCGGCCCTGGAAAGGAAGATAGCAATTGCCTCGACAGCCAAGTGGAATTCAAGCATCCGGCTGCGGCTTGTCCAGGTGAGTTGGCTGCTGGACAACACCACGGCGACGAAAACCTGCGAAGTGGTTACCCAGCAGCCATGCATTACCAGCAGCCATGCAGCATCACTGCATTGTCTTTCTGCTTCCGCGTCTTCTGTCAGCCAATGATAGCTGCCTGCTGTCGGACACATCGTCCAAAGCTCCTCAAGGGCAGCCAGCTGTACGTTGGAAGCGGTGGGTGACGAGTCTGGGCTGACAGCTTTACACCGTATAATTACAGCGTGTGCGATGCCTGGAACTTGAAGGAAAGGCATCGGCGTTGGGTCTCCCTCCCTCTAAAGTCTAATCTTCTCAGATTACGAATGTTCCTTGCCACGCCCGCGAGGAGTGTTGGATCCTTGCGACCGGAAGCCAATCATGGGGCTTGCAACCATCTTCTCCTTCTCGGGTTGTAGGTTTGGCAACCCTCAGCTTTTGTCAAGGTTTAGGGCAGTTTAGGGCTGGAGGACTCAAAGACCTTTACCGCACTTTCGTGTGGCAGAAGTCGAAACTGTGCATTCATGCCAAACCCACCATCCGTTCCCTCCCGTCCATTTTTCAAGCAATAATTGTTGCTCTGCAGGGTGGCCAAACTGACCGGCAAGGCGCAACGGTCGGTTTAGATTGTTTGCTACCTGCTGAAATCAGAGACATGGACGGACCGGCGCGGCGGCTTCTGCTCCACGCAACGACTGGAGGCTGGTCTTTGATCCCAGCAGACTTGACTGGACTGCAACATCACCACTTTGTCTGCAAGCACCGGCACGTGGACCGGGACAATCCACGTCGTGTTGCTATGTGCTAGCCGGCCGTTGCAAATCGGCACCACGACATCTACAAGCGCATCGACACATGCAAGAGGTCCTCCTGCTCCGCATGGCAACGCGTCTGCCTTCACAGCTATTAGATCCTTAGTACATACTCAGCAGCTTCATATCCGAACATGATAACAATTCGACAATAATGCAATGATCTCTTCATATCTAAATGTAATCCACACATGTTCTCATTTTCTCCTGTATGTATATCAAAGAAGGTGCAGTGGCAACCTTGATCCAGAGCCGAGCAAGAAGAGCAAAGTTGCATATCGACCAGGTCGACCATCCCGTAAAGACTGAGTCGGGAGCGAAGAAGCATTAGGCTGTACAGTGTAGAAGGATTCCAGGTGCCCCAAATAGCGGCACTGGCGAATACAGCTTTACGTCTGGAATCCCAACCGTCTGCTCTGTGGTCGCTCCGGTCTCGAGTAGCATGTCAAGTCTCGGAGTGGGGACGGCAAGTCTTGCGAGCCCATTATCTGGTCTTTTCTGCAGTCTCCATGCTGGACGCAGCCGAGCTACTGGTAGCAGACTGCAGCAGCTTCTAAGGACCATGGTGAAACAAGTACTATGCAAATCTCACTCTGGGCTTCCACCCGTCTCCTGGAGGGCACGACGAAAAAACGAAACCTGCGCGTTGGACTTTCAGGCCCCCGCCTTGGCCATCTCCCTCCGGCGAGCCGCAAACATGCTGGCTGCCTTCGACGCATTCTGCGAACCTCTGCGAACCTCTGCACAGACGCTTTCTAGCACCTTCTCCATTCCCCAACGGCGAATCAGCGCAGCACCTGAAGGTTCGCTGCTTTGCTAGTCGAAGCAAGTAGGCTGAGCAAAAACGACAACCAGAGTGGCATTGAGGGTTCTGCATCCTTTGGCTGCATCTCCCAGCCGCAAACGCTCGGAGCCAGCGGAAGCGTCACCATGCACCGCCTGCACTGAACCCAATGCACAAGGCGTAGGATCTTGATTCTCCCAGCTTCCAGCTACAGCATTGCCGGACTAACTGAGGCGAGGACACCTCTTAGTGCATTCTTTACTGCTTCAGTCTTGAGACAAGAACCACCTGAAACCGAGCGCAGCACACTGGGCAAAGCCCAAGCTGGCAAGCGACAGTCATCCTTCCAAGGCTAAACGTCGCACCGAAATCAAAATAAGCTGCAAACAGTCTCTGCAGCAATTGAGAGCCGTCCTCGTCGCAGGTAGCGACGATTGAGTCCTGCGGCGCGACGAAAAGAGGCAGGCTATTGGCTAGCTGCTAGCTCCAGGCGAAGCATTCAACTGAACTCAGAATAACTCAGACTCTGCAGCAGGTCCCTCGCCAACGGCTCCCACTTCTTGGCCACACTCCACTCAACACCGAGCCGTGCGGCCACCCCCTGCACGAAACTTGCGAAACAAGTGAAACAACTGCCCGAAACCTGCGACCCACAGCTTTACTACTTGCCGAGGTGGTGATTTCCTGCAACGTGTTCAAGTATCCGCAGAAAAAGCCGCGAACTTTCACTGCAAGAAAAGGGTCAACGAGCGGCAAAGTCCCACATGGCACAGTTCATGCCTGTGCTCAAACAAACATGCTACCGAAAGAATTTTTACATGCACTCTGGCAAATGATTCGTGTTTAGCAGCAAGCTGGCGCGCCTTCACCAAGACTGACCTGAATCAGCTGAAGCAGTGAGGACGTCTTGGGGCGGCCACGGCTTCAAGATACATGATCTGATTACATGTGATGAAGGATCCCACCACATGCCGCAGCTTCTTTGTCTCCCCATGCCCCGCTTCCGTGTGGGGTTGTGCCAGTGGTGCTGTCTGCCGCAACTGCGCGTGCTTGTGCGCGCTCATGTGCATGCGTGTGCACATGCGTGTGTGTGCGGGTGTGGAAGTGGGTGTGTGAGATGGGGTGATGGGACATTTCAGAAACCATGGTCAGCACATGAAAGGCGAGTTGTCAGCATAAAGCATGCACAGATGTTCAGAAATATGGAACGACCCGGAGTTTTCAGAAACAACCACCTTTTTTACGCACATAACATGTCGATGTTCGTCAGCATGGGCCCTGAATCAGGTATTTAGGCCAAGCCTGGATATGCATATGGCCGAAACCCTAAACCCTGAAAGCCTCAAGCCCGAAACCTTAATCCCTGAACCCTATGCATGTATACCAGGCCTAGAACATGCAAAGGCCCTACACGATAAATCCTAAACCCCATGCGCGTATACGAAGCCTGGAAATGCGACCGTCAACCCAAACCCAAAAACCTAAGCACAAACCCCAGTCATCTATACCAAGCCGGGAAATGCATATCTTCGCCTTCTCCTACATGGCGCGGCATAATTTCTGAATAAACCCGATCATTTTTCTGAAAAATCTGCTGCATAGTTCTGCACATTTCTGAAATGTCGTGAAAATCCCGCAAGTTTCCTGAAAAAACTGTGTGTTTGGGTGTGCGGGTGCATCCATCTGCATCTTTACTGAGGCAGTCAGCTCCCTTTTGCGTTGCCGTTCCTTTGATGTGTTCGTCCTTCATCACAAGTGAATGTCCGCAATAACACGTCCCTGCGCGGGGGCACCTGAGCTTTCAGTCCCTGAAAAGTTCATCCCAAGTGTGTGTGGGTGTGGGTCATGGGCGGGGGGTCAAACCCCTCATTTGCTTTGCGCAGGGGAACAGGCAAAGGGGAAGCATCACTTCATTTTCCACAATCACCATCAACATCAGCATCTTCCCCGACACATCTGCCCCATCAGTGGGAGCTGTTTGCCCGTGGCCTTCCGGGCAGTCGCAGCAGCGGGACATGCTCAGCTTCCAGAGCTTTGGGGCCGTTGAGTGCATCCTGACATCCAACAGGACACGTGGAAGAACACTGTCACCTGGATGAAGACGTGGTGACTGCTGCTGAAAGGACTGTCACTTTTGCGGGGACCGTGAGTTTATGGATCCACAAACTCGCGGAGTTGTGGGGCCCCTGTACAGCAGTCCGACAGGCCCTCCCAAGATCTTTTGTATGCCATCTTGAGATGCGAAGTTGCCCCGTACGACGAATATGCATGAAAGTCGCGGGGAACGTCACCAACAGGTCCAACCCCCAGCGACTGTTGGCACGTCTAGGTTGCGGTGACGATACCAGCCGTTACCAGCCTCGGAAAACGACGACTGTCACAAGGATCACCATGACTGTGACTTGAACGCTGAACTGCAGGATGCTTGAGACCGGCTCCTAAAGGCGAGAGGTTGACATATGTTGCCCTGGGGGAGACCCGTCTTTTGCATCGCTGCTGACCAAAAATGCTGTAGCAACCAAGATGCCTGTGAGCGCATACAACAGATCTAAGTGGCCAACGCTCTTCCCAGAAGCACCAGCTCCGTTGGGAACGAACGCAGCCTCTCATTTTGTAGCATCGTGCCTCTTGCCGCTCGCAGATGTCCGCTGCTAGCGCAGATATCGAGAAACTGGCTGGCGCAGCGGACTCTTCTCGTTGAATTCCTCGCCGGACTGACTACTTCTCTTGTCACTGAGACTGGGCAAATAGTTACATCCAAGCAAAAGTCCTCCTTGGAATATCCGCCCGGGAACTCCACATCCTGCCCCAATGTGCCAAGTGCAGCGGGAACGAATTCCACAGTCTCCCGGCCTTATCGCCAAACAAGTACAGGGCGACGCTTGCCTTCTCAGTAGTTACTTCAAGACAAGGAGTCGCTTCAACGGACAACAGACAAACGATGAAGCTGCGCACTGCACAGGCATCTTCGTCCTCTTGGCCTCGCGAAAGACATTGGCAGTCTCGCTGCAATGACATTCTGGATTTGCCGAGAGGCCTTGAAAAAACGTGACTCCAAAGTTGCGAACGCAGTTGGCCTCGGACGTCAGCCGCAACGACTCGCTCGTTCCTCTGCAACTCTGCACCCTCTCGGAGGCTTCGGCTAAAGTCTGGATCATGCTTCGACTGCCATCATAGGCAGCTGCGGCTAGAATCGCCTTGAACACAGCATAGCACAGCATCTCATGCCGATAAGCACGATACGAGTAGAGCACAGATCGCATAGAGTCGTAGAGCCTCTGCTACCAGAAGCCGCTGCTCCCGGTACAGCTGGCACACCTGCACAGTGTTGCACACGTTGCCTCCCCAGTCTGTCAACTTGGATCGCACCCTGGCACACCTGACCACAGTCGATTAGCGCAACCCTTCCACCTTCCATCACGAAGATGTTCCTGCCAGGACTCTGATAAACAAGCGAAGGTTGCTCACCTGGTCAAGCTTCGAAGTCACTTAACAAGGCCAGCATGGCCCGGGATGTGGATCTCCATGAATGAACCCAGAAGAAAAAATCATGTTGCCTTAACTGCTTTGTGCGGTTCTGGAGACGCTGCAATACCTGCTCATACACAAGCCATCGAATGGTATCTGCTATATGCAAGCAGAGCACCGTATGCTGTAGTCAGGGCCTCTAAGATTTGGCCACCCAGCACCTCCGTGGAGACAACGTACTGGGACCAAGCCAGCAGGCAAGGCTCACCCCGCAGTGCATGCTGAACACGAGGCGGAAGTTTCCGTGTGGCAGGCAAGTTGCCCATGAAAGTCGCATTGGCAGCGGAGCTGACATAAAGACACAAGCTGACAATCGGAAGAAGCCGACCTTCCCTGCTTTGCTGCCCAGATCAATCCCAAGCTCCTGCAAGCAAAAACGCTGGTTCAGACCTCGTCGGAAAGATGAAACCAACCCTGCACACCTTCGCCCTCTCTTCGAGCTTTGACAGCGGCGTGCCCTTGATGAAGTCCATGACTGCCACAGTTCGGTCGATGCGTGTCATCAGTACACACCTCACCTTTTACAGCATTTTCCAGGCGTTGGGAGCATGCGAAGAAAAAATGGAACCGGTTCAAAACATCAAACCTAAAAATTCTAAGACGAGCATGCTCACTTTCGGAATGCTGCGAGGGCAAACTCTAAAGTCCCACTGGTGGAGAGCTGCACAAAACGCTTTTCGAAGCCGAAACCCAGCACCCACCCCCTTGCGCAAATGACTACTCGGCAGGTTTGGGCAATACACCAGATGTCAAGAATGCAGTGTCGTGACATATCAGGACTACAGGCCTTCACACCATGACATCAACGATGATCCTAAACTTACCGAAAGGTCGTGCATCGCGATTGGTGCGATGCATCCTCGAGACTTGCAGTGGGGTGCAAGCTACATTAAGCTACCAAGCCGTCAAGGGAAACACGATGTGAAACAAGCGAAGCACGGCCTAAGGGACGAAGCTACTATTAGGAAGAAGACAACACCACGTAAAACATCGTAAAACAGCACTGCGCAAAACATCGGGAGATAAAACTCAGGAGCTACTTGGAGAATACCTTTGGAAGATGTGCCTAGCACCCTCCTGGTCGCCATGCCCGGTATCGGCTGCGGCACCACCTCATCACAACTGTTCGTTTGTGGAGAAGTGCAGAGGGCCGCCTAACCCGGAAGTTGCTAGAACCAGACTACGACCCTCAGGCTGAGTTCCTGAACAACCTGCTGTCCTTGCCTACGCTGCAGGGCGAACACAACTAGCACTGCAGAGAGTGCAGGAACTTCCAGCAGTTCAGCATTTCAAACCTCATCCCAAACCATGCTTTGACATGCAATGCAGGTTCTGGGCTTGAGGCCAATGGCGAGGCCAGCTCACGCCCAAGAGGATCGTGCCTGATGGAAGCAGCCACCTCCAGGCAAACGCAGATAAGGCTGAGTTTCACGAGGGTTTGCTTTTTATCGAGACTTCTCTCCTGGTGGTGAGCAGTGGTGGAACTCTCTCAGCCTCACTTCCGCGGCATGCTGGCAGGAGCCCCGTGCAGACTTGGACATACTGACATATTTGCGGCGGCTCAAAGCGAAGCCTTCGTTTGCCCAGCTCTGAGTTGAGCTGAGTCTTCCCTCTGCCTGCAGAATCCTTGATGGATTTCTTAGTTCACCTCCTTTCCTTTCTGCGTGTGCCTCCATGGTGCTCTCTCAGTTGTTGCAGATGTCTGTTTGGAGGCACACAGGAGAAAGGACCCTTCGCATCAATGCTTGCAGGGCCCGACAGGCAAAGCAAGAGTGCTCAACCCCTTGCCATTTTTTGTCGCAGTCCAACATGCCAGGCTGCCCATCTTGGGCTTCGCGAAAACTTTCAGTTCGTCAGCGCAAGTCAAGGCCCAAGGCTTCCTGGCACTTAGTGACTGGCTCACGTGCTCAAGCCGTGCTGCAGCATCACGCCCCGTCAAACCCACAAGCTGACATGCAAGTCAGACCAAGCAAGCAAAAGTGGAGACGAAACTCATGGATGAGACGTTGTGACAACTCGAGGAAGCATGTTGTTCAATGTGAGCTGAGCATCGTCGGCCATTGAGCCATGGGCACGCAGGCACCCAGATGCCAATCGAAGCAGGATCATGCCTTGCGAAACTTCCTGCAGGGAATGGGCATTCGTCTCCCATGACACTGCAGTTGCACCCGGCCGAACACTGCTCGTCAACTGTACTTGAGGAAGTGTGGTTACAGAACTTTGCAGCCAAGTCTCCAGCCGGCGGACACGCCATGTGCCGACATCGTTATCTGAAGACCCCATGGCAAGAGCTGGTGACCGATGACTACCTTTGCACGAAGGTGTCTGCAGCGAAACCTACTTTTTGGCTAGTGACTGGAAGTCAACAAAATCAATGACAAAAGGACAGCGCTTATGCCAAAGTCACTGCTCCGCCGTCTTCATCCATCCTCAGAGCCAGATTCTTATCCGATTGGCCCTGAAATCACGGCAACCGAAACCAAAAGCAACCGGCCGACATCGGCCGACAGCGGGCAGCACCACTACCGTCACCACCGACGACGACACAGGCACAACTGCAACCATGACTGGACAAGTCTCCATGAACTGGTTCCGACATGTTCCGAAAGCATTCACTCTCCCGCATGATCTCTGCAGAATGCCACACTGGACGTGGAACGAAGAAGACATGTTGGGTTTTGGTGTACTGAAAAAAGCGTAGGTTTTGCCATTCATGGTTGAAGCTTGGGTGTCTCACCCCATGCCTGACTTGGCGCATGTACGCAGGATCCGACAATCATTTGCAAGCAGCTGTGCATGCCCAGACTCTTTCGCAAATTCGGTGCTGGTTCCAGCGAATTTTGATGCACAAACCCGTGAGCAAGCATCCCCTCTCGGAGATGCACACACTTTCACGACAAGCTACCCATTTTGTCACGCAGCTGCACTTGCATCCTCGGAGATCCGCAGACCAGCAATCTCTACGAAGAGCAGATAAGCAAAGTGTTGATCTTGCTTGTTGGTGTTTGGCCAGTGTGCTAGATAATGCAAGCAAGTCGTCATTCGCAAAGGCCCAGAATGCGACACTTCGCGTGCCCGTGCATGGTTGCATCTGGGCTCCAGCCTCTGCGGAGCTTGCATTCGGGGGCTGTGTTGTCAATGACGCGTGGCGTTCCGAAAATGGATGTCAATCATTCGTTCTTTGGCAAAGCAACCCCCTGAGCGGGACAGCTTAATATCATGTCACTGCCCTTTCAGAGACTTGCACTTTCACGCATGTGATGCGGGCAGATTGGGGTGTAGCAGCAGCGAGCATGTGGGGGAAACATACGGCAGATCATAAAGTTTGAGACTTGCGAAGTTGACGGTGGGCTGGGTCGAGCCACGGATCGACAATCCTGGCTGTCGGCGAACTTGCTGGCGTGGTAGCGTAAATGCGCTGAGCTGCAACCTCGCCATCATGGTCGCAGCTGCGATTGCAGACCATTGCCAGCCGTCTGCAGAAGCACTGCCGGAATTGCAGGAAGCATTGACCGCGAGAACGATGGCGAGGAAGGTGCATGTTTCTCGCTGCGCTCACCAATGCATGCTGCTTTCAAGCAGCTGGACGATGCAGCAGGTGATGGCGAAACCGAGTGACTGCTCACGCTTGCACAAATATGTCATGACGCACCGTCAGATCGTGTGCGCACATATATGGTAAGTGGCTCCAAACTTCGACATTCAAAGGGCTGCTTGCCAAGAGTCTGGTCAACACGCAAGGCTTTACCTTCCCAAACGGGATGCACCCAGCAATCACCATCCGGCCCGGCTGCTCGCTGCCAGCCCGCACCGACCTCGTCTCAGCATTTGAACCTCTTCGCTCGCGTGTTTTGAAGACTCTCTGAAACCTGGATATTTTGCCGCACAAGTCACGCGAAATCGTTGAGTAAAATCGCTGGGTGTGCCAATCACCTTTCAGCCGTCTTCCATCTTCTGTTTGAAGCGGTGGCACAGCTTTGCGACATGGCCTCCATTTCTATGTCGTCACCGCTCTGCGTTATTTTGCGGCTCACATAGCCTCTCAACAGCACTTGTAAGAGGACTCCACACAACTTTCGCCGGCCTGCTCCGTAGCTTATCGCGGAAGCAGCACAACCTGAGACGATGGCATGCACCGTGATGACATTCACAGATGCAAGAGACGAAACTGCGATCGAACAAAACGGCCTGGATAAAACATCTACCTTTTCCCCAAACAGTGTCAACTGTCGTTTCACAGTCATCAGAGCCTACAGCTGTCCGGGCCCTGGTTGAACGATCAAGAAGACAAAGTCTAGAAAAACAAACGCAGGGCAAGTCCAAGAGGCGTTTTGCCCAACTTACCTCCAGCGACACCAGAAGTGCGTCCATGTCGCCCTCGGTCTCGAAGCAATACCAAAGCCCAGCGAAGTCGGTCCTTTTCACATTCAAGGCTGAACTGCTGTTTGCAGAAAGTGTCGAGCCTGCTCATCGCCCGACGAGAGCAGACAACGACTGGCCGTCTCGAAGACCAAGCGGACTGGCCATGCTGAGAAAAGTAACGCAGTGCCCGGCAAGACAAAACTTTCAAAATTGGCCTGGTCTTGCAAAGGCCGCAAGGGTAGCAATGAAGCCTCTAGAGTGAGCAGAGGCAGAAGGCATGAATATCTGATCTCCTGGCTTGCCGAACAACTGTATGTCGGCCTCTGGTCGGACCACTTTTTGCTTTGGACGAGGCTTCATCGAAGGAGTGGACGACTGCGGAGATTGCACCTAGCATCTTGGAATGGTCGTGGAGTTGGAGACAGAACCGAACTCTGCTTTTACTGCAAGATTCAGTGCCTGCATGCCCCTCAGTTCATGAAACGCAGCCGGCACGTATCTGGGTTGTCGGCAATTGGAAGACTGTTCGATAAATCGCTGACTGACCAAGGGTCCTGCTCTTGCAGGTCTCGGCACTTTGACTCAAAGAACCGGAGATGCGAATCCTCTTCGATGTCCAACTCATCTTCCGAAGAGGCCGCGGAGAACGTGCAAGCAGCTCCCATGGCGAGCGAATGGTTCAGACTGGAAATCGAAACGGGAGACACTGCCACTGAAGTACAAAGTAAGTAGAAGTGCCGATGAGACGGCGGCATCGCTCTCATATACACGGCTCGAACTGTTGGCAGCCAGATTTCGTCCGCATCATTACTTGTTTAGATCGTTACTTGAGCGTGTGAGGCCGTTTGCAATCAGCTTCTCCCTGAGAAGTTGGAGCACTTGGCAAAGTCAGCTTCCTGCCTTCATCGCACTTTGAGCTTCGTTCAGGAAATCTAGTTCGCCATCCAAGGCTCGCTCCAGCCTCAGAGCATCTCAGAGCCAGCCACATGCAAGCTCCAAGTGCGAACTGCGGGTGCATGAGATCGTCAGCAAGATTCAAAACAAGTTCCAAACTCACAGAACACCGGGTAGTAGTCGACCGGAAGCCTGCAGCAAACACAAGACAAGCAAGCACAAAGACATCGTGCACGAGATCAGAGGCTTTCAGGGACGGTCGAACTGTCAAGCAAATGCAAAACTCTTTAGCATTACATCTTTTGTGCTATCTTTATTCTCTAGATTATCACCAAGCATGATAAGCAAACCAGGCATTCTTGCGGAAGTTGGTACTGACCCCCAAATTGTCAAAGTGCGAGGACGGTTGCAGACATATGCAGACATATCAGCATTCTGAAACCGATGTCACGCCAGAGTGAAGAACGCGCTGCTGCTTCTGCCAGATCGAACCCTTATTGAGATGCTGCCCGTGCGCGCTCCAACAACTCGAAGCCGCCAACCAACCTTTTGCGCAGACACTTTAGGGACCCTTGAACATCGCTTTAAATCACAGTTGCGAAACCCGTCACCGAATATCCTCCCTCGGAACACGTGGCATGGGAATCCAGAACCATATGCACAACAAGGCCACCAAACTTGTGTAACAATCAATTCCTTGCCCGATACTCGCGAAAAGATCGCAAGTACCAGCAGTTGGCAGCACTTAGCAGTGACCCAAGGCCAAGCGTCTCCTCTCGGAGCGTGGGCCTAACGTGCTTGATATCTTGTGCGACATAATCTTCTTGTCAGGGCTGCCTATATGGGCTACCGATGAGGGTTCCAGCACTCGGAACTCCGAAACCTGTGCCAGTCACAGCCTCCCACGCGCAGCCAGAGCAAAGACTTTGAGGTTGGCGATGTCGCCTCGCAACATTCGTGCTTGGCTGCTTGGCGAGCTCTTACCGGCACCGTGACGAAGGCGAGCCTCGAAGGACAGGTTCCATGTTTGGTCTCAAGACTTTGATGGCCACCTTGGTGGATGAGGATGGGACGATCTTCCTCTCGAGACCTCTTGCCCTGCACGAAGCCTCCCTTCCGTCATTGAGAACAGCTCTGTGAACCTGCGCGGTATTGGCTCAACCTTACCATGCTCACCATTGTGGGACAGCTTTGTCTTTCCGTGGGCTCGGAGGTCAGGATCGTAAACTTTCGCCCGACAGCATCCTCTAAACTCTTCGGTCACGACACGAGGTGTCAAGTCGTTTTGCCCTTAGCTGTTGCAAAAAAAAACAAAAAGCACTGCCAGCACAGACATGCTGATAGCTGTACGCGTCAACACCAACGTTTCCTTGAGATCTTGCCTACTTCGTTTCGCCGTGACTCTGCATACATCCAGCATGACTTGTGGACATACGGTTGGTTGACGCTTGCAGCTTGCAGCTTGGATTTGTTCCGAAGTGCCCGAGCTCCCCCCAGAACATTTGTCAATCGGGTTTTCCCTGGCTTGCCCCTTCGGTCAAAAAGAGCGTGCCCTTTCAACAGTCGAGTCCTGCACATACTAAAGTGGGTCTTCGAGGCCACCAAGCACTCTCAACTGTTGCCAGCACACTTCTGAATATCTGCTTGCTCCCCTGTTGAAAACCTGGCGTCCTTCCCTTTGTGCTTTGCTCTCCTCTTCTTTTGCAGTGCTTAAACCGCGAGTCATGTTTCCGGGCACCAGGCACCCGTGTCATTGCAGGGGCTTTGCGGTTCGTATGAGACTCCGTGGTAAGGTCGATACCGCTGTGGCACAGTGATTATTTTACCCAAATCCATGGAAACTCTCTGCGTCGGTTCTGAAGACAAGAACGTCAAGCAAGCAGGCAAAGCCGCAAGACCTTCAGCTAGCACAAGCTTCTGGTACCGATCCTTTCGGGGCTTGTTCAACCTGCCTTGTGCAGCAAAGCTGCGGCGATGCAAGGTACATCAACCCTGCTGGAACTGGGCTGGTCGTGTTTTACAAGACAGTATTTTACACCGATCCATGGAAACTCTCGTCGCTAGGGCATGAGGGACTGCTGAGGTCCCCCGGCTAGCATCGGGGTTTGGATCTCAGAGGCACCTCAGCCTCGTAAACGCGTAATCGGCCCCCTTGCGGCTACGCAATCTTATATCCTTGACTTGAGTAGCATTGACAAGGCTGTTCCGCCCTGCCTTCTCTACTGGGCTCTTCCAAGCCTGGTTGGTGCAAGCTTTGCGGGCGGGCGCTGAATTCTCCAGCATGTCTTGTGGGATTGTCCCTACATCACATCCAAGTTTCCTGAACCCCGCAACTTAACGAGGCCAGAATGCAATTTCCTTCGCCCAGTCTGTGGCTACATGGGTCGGTGCCCAAAGATGCCACCAATCTGTCTCTGCAACGTGCCGAAATGGGCTTTGCAACGGAAGGCTTGTGGAGTCAGCAACATGCTATCTCGGATGCAACACTTGTGCAAACCATGAGGCCCCAGGTGGCCCGCGAGCCCAGGGACCCGAGATCCGTTTGCGTGGCGTGGGCCATTGCTGCATACAAGCTTGAAGACAGGGTTCCTCGTAGCTGCCAGTGTCCAGGCTGAGCAGCAACCAGTTTTCGAGCTGTGCTCTCGTGCTGTGATTGATGTTGATACATCTGTTGATTGCCAAAAATGTTGCTCATATCTTGCAAAACGCCTCTCCTCCCCTTGACCTGTGGCTTGGCACATTTAAAGTGTGGCACGAGCGCAAAAGGGCTGCAGTGCATTGGGTGCCCAGTCACAAAGGCGCCTCCTACTTCGCGCTTCGCGGAGCGCAACCTTCCTGAGTGGCGGCGCTTGGTGAATGAGGATGTTGATAAGCTTTTGTGGACCCGCGCTCCCCAAGCCTTTGCCTCAGCTCGGCGGCCAAATTTAGATGCTTGTATTTAGCCTGGAACATTGGCCACATGTTTTTGCGTAAAAGAACAACCTCTTTCCCGGTGGGTCTTGCATTGCAACCTTGATCGCCTTAACCACCCGGCCTTCAAAGTCCGTGAGTAAGCCGAAAACCCTGTACACCAACAAGAAGCAACGCCTGAAAATGCTGCTTGAGCAGCAGGACCCCTGCATGGGCCACGTCTGGCAGGCCAGCAACACCAAAGATCATCACACTCCCTGCCGTTTCTACGTCGAGCAGTGTAATGCGCCGGACGTTTTTGACCGCAAGGTTTGTAATCCTTGCCAAGACATGCCGGGTCATTTACCCAATTGCTGGCTGGCCCATGAAACGCATGACATGGTCAACAAGGGTTACTTTTTCACTTGCAGCAAATGCCTTGCCATTGTTAAGGTTGCTGCGAACCTCATGTCAAGGGCTGTACAATCACAGTGAAGGGGCATCGCTCGCAAGATTGACAGCAGCATAAAGACTAAGGCTCATGAAAAGATTTCTGATATTGTTTGGGAAAAGTCCTTGCCAAAACTGCGTCTGAGGCTCCCTTAAGTCCCGCCACGCCTAGCCTACGCAAAAAATGCTTTCCTTTGCGCTCCTTCGGTGAGCAGCACCGGCGCACTTGCTTGGAGCTTTTGCTTAGGGCTTCAGAATTAGTTTAAGTATTTTTTTGTTTTTTTCCTGTTGTTTTTTTGTTTTTCTCTGTTTCACGCAAACAGTACCTCATTTGGAAGCTCCACACCCCGGCTGTGCGCTAGCAGCGAGGGTGTGGGTGGGGTGGGGTGAAACACTGAATGTTACACATCCAGGTGCCTATCTGTTTCACGTATCACTTGCATGTTTC